AGCATATTCCAGCTGAGGATGCTCCCATTGCGCTTTTTGTGATGGTAGGGCCTGCAATGGCGTACTGTAACCTATTTTCCCAGCACATAGAAAAGAAATTATATTTCCCCCATGCGTACCTGCACCTATTTTCCTGGGGCGGCTTGTCTCCTGATGGACGCTTGCTTGGCACATGAGGCGTTTTTTGTTTCCAGCTCCCAACATGGCATTTCAGTGAGGTGTTCCTCCCCTCCCCCCCAAACAAGTTTGAGCCTGGAGTACCAGCACCATTTTCTCTTATTTAAAAAAAAAAGCCATTGGGTGTGTCAACCCTAAAGGAGGCTGATAAAAGGTGCTATACCTCTCCCATGCTTATACCTTTCTGTTTTGCATTCTCTGCATAACTCTGGTAATACAGGCTGTGTCATAGTACATCAAACAACACCCATGCTTCCATCCTCATAGATAGGGAGTGTAAGATAATGAGCCTTGGCAGGATTACAGTTCTGGATCTCTAACTACTTGATACTGCTGGCCAAGTATGACTTTATAATCTATGGCCAGAATTTGAGCAGTTTCCAGATAAGCTACTTTAGCAGAATCATATTCTATTCCAAACAATTTACAGGAATGCAGGTTGGTTGCTACGTCCATACTTGAGGCTATATTTGGTTCAGCGGACATGCTTAACGTTCATGGAACCTTATCCTTTTATTTGGATAGAACAAAGCTATTTAGGCAGACCCTTAAGGTATTTTTATGTCTCACTCAGCAATCAAAGGGCAAAGCAATCTTTCCCCTCACCAGAGAGTCTCTAAATGGATATCAGACTGCATACATCTGTTACCAGTTGAAAAGAGTCCAGCCTCCTGCAGCAATCAAGGCACATTCTACTAGATCCAAGTCCACTTCCATAGTATTTCTCCACAATGTCCCCATTCAGGCATATGCAAGGAAGACACGTTATGCTGTCATGCACGGTGCATCATAGAACATTTGACTGAATTGAGCTGTCTTATCAACTATCTTACCAGATGCAAAGTCCAAACCATCCTATATCTGACAACATGGTTTTTGGATGGACACCTCTGTTAGCCCAAGAATGTTTATTGGTGGTGCAAGATATCCTCTCCAGTAGCCAAAAGGACTCCCCACCTGATTCTTTCAGGTCAAATGGAAATGTTTCACTTGCTGGGTCCAACATTAAAGTTTTGACCGTGAAGCTGTGGGCATTCCCTCTTTACTCCACATGAAAATCATGAATCTTGCTCTTAGCTGTATCAGAAGGCATTCAGCCACCATTACTTCCTTCCATCATCATGTGGCAGTCAGTTGATTTTTACCCATCTTACGGTCTAGTCCTTACCGCTGTAATGAACTCTCCCTCTGAAGTGCTGGGATCCTGCACACTCTGCCCTCCCCAGGAAAGTCCTTTTCTTTGTCATCATTACTTCAGTGAGGATGGTTAAACAACGAGGAACAATGATGGCAAAAGGGCAAGGTCTCGCTATGACAGCATTCCAAGTTTCTGCCAAAGGTGGTTTCACAATTCCACCTCAGTCAGCCTCTACATCTGCCTATCTTCTGTCCAAAACTACACGCCTTAAAGAAGGAATGGTAGCTTTATGCCCTCAGTGTGCATAGGGGCCTGACTTTTTATGGACAAAGCCAATCCAAAAATCTTCCAATTTAAATATCTAAATTAATTTAACAACTTGGAGGTTTTTTAATTGGTCTGATCATCTCTGATGTCAGTGCTGTGCATTATCAACATGTGTAAAGAATAGTTCATCCGCTTTTAAGAGATTGTGGGCTTTAAGTCTATATGGTGCTGGCAGAGCCACTAAAGAAGTGTGCTTTGTAATATATTCTAACATGCTGTGCTCTACCTGCCCAGGTAGATTGTGCTAACACACTCTAAAAGTTATCTAGTTACCTTTTACATAGCACAGATCTACACTAGAAGTGCTACTTCAGCACAGCTGTGCTGCTATACCATAGCTGGTGAAGTTGCTCCATGCCATGGAAGAGTGCTCTCCCATCAGCATAATCACTGTGTCTCTGTGAGAAGTGGCCACTTCGTTGATGGCAAAGGGTCTCCTGTGGACAGAGCACTGGAGTAGACAGTGCTTAAGTTGCTGTAACTTGTGTCCCTGGGGGATGTGTTTTTTCTTACCCAGGAACAATGTAAGTTAGGTCCACACTACTGCTTAAATTTATCTATCTGTAATCCTGTCATATCTTTTACAATGCCCTAACAGGATTTATGCAGGGAAGTTAGAGCATATCAAATTAATATGCTGTATAAATCACCTCCTTCTGGAGAGCTTTGCCATGCTGTGTAGACAAGCCCTTTATCTGTGTTTAAATAAATCATTGAAAGGGAGTTATGATGGCTGAGCATTTTCTCTGTTAAAACTCCAATTATTACAAATTCTATATTAAATTTTTTTGAGAGAATGTTAAAATGTACTGTACTTCAAGTTGCGCATAGGATGTTCATGGATAAAATTTGTTATGAACCTTTTCAGAGTCTGTCCAGTTTTGTAACTAGTTCATAGAGGAAAAAATCATTGCATACTACCTTCTTTTGAAAATGTTTACACTTGCAGCTGTTGGGCCCAACTGTGCGAGCTCTCCACATGTGGCACTGTGAGACTTCAGGGAGTATCACAGACTGTTAGGCTTATTGCTTGTTCAGTCCCATACTCTAATCACCCTCTGCATGATTAAACTGTTCCAATATTCCAAGAAGGGTCAAAGGGGATGAGTCTCAGTTGATTGGAGAGGAAGCTAACCAGCAAGCAACTTTGAAGGAGGATACTGCAACTGATAAACAATGGCAGATTAAATGTACTGAAGCCAATCTTTTGTTTGAGAGCCAAGTTAGCATTGGTTATTGTGTTAAATACCCTGGCTAGTACAAACTTCCTAATTTGCCAGCTTGTCCAGTACCTGCTAGCCTTGTTCTGCTGTTCCTACTAGTAAGCACTATAAAGATGTTAATTACACAGAACTGAATGACAGCTGTCCTTGAGTTTAACAATGGTAGTACCTTCTTCCCATCCTTTCTCTCTCATGTGCACATGCTTGCACCTTACTTCCTCTACTTCTCTAAACCATTAGTGCTAATGCTTACGCCCTTCACTCTTGTTGGAATCTTGGAACAGAGAGGCAAGGTTTTTGCAATTTCTCTTTCCTCCTTCAAAGCACCCAGGCATAATAGCTGAGAGGTGGTCTGTTGGCAGCAACATCTTCTCTGCAGCTGTGAGTTCTTCCAAGGTCATTAGACCTGTGGGGAGACCTTGTTGCTAAATTGAGAGCAGGATCATTAAAAAGAAAAAATGGATATAAAATTAAGTGTGTGTGTGTTAAGTTAATTTAACTAGCTAGAGTGACACTTGAAATATACTCTGAGAGTGCTTTGTACCCTTTTAGAAAATGTCAGTGTTATCAGTGAACAATAATCTTAAAATACATTACATAAACATAAGGAATCATAATTTCTAAAATAAATTAATATTTTTCTTTTTTAGCATGAATCTAGAGAAATGTTACTGGGATTCAATATGGTGAATTACCGAGCATGTAAGAATTTGTGGAAAGCTTGTGTTGAGCATCACACATTTTTCCGATTGGACAGACCACTGCCACCTCAGAAGAACTTTTTTGCACATTATTTTACTTTGGGTTCAAAGTTCCGGTACTGGTAAGTAACTGTTGGCTGTGATAAATTGATAAAAGCTAACAGGGTGTAAAGCTAGAACAAGAAGGGACTGAAAGAGAGGTTTAGGTTAGATAGAGAAGTTATAAAATCATAGAGCAGGAAGAGACCTCCTTAGGAGGTCATCAAGTCCAGCCCCCTGCCCAAAGCAGGACCAATCCCAGCTAAATCAACCCAGCCAGGGCTTTGTCAAGGTAAGACTTAAAAACCTCTAGGGATGGAGATTCCACCTTCCTCCCTAGGTAACCCATTCCAATACTTCACCACCCTCCTAGTGAAATAGTTTTTCCTAATATCCAACCTAGACCTCCCCCAGTGTAACTTGAGCCCATTGCTCCTGGTTCTGCTATTCATCACTACTGAGAACAGCTTCTCTCCAGCCTCTTTGGAACCTCCCTTCAGAAAGTTGAAGGCTGCTATCAAATCTCCCCTCACTCTTCTCTTCTGCAGACTAAACAAAGCCAAATCCCTCTCTCTCTCCTCATAGGTCATGCACTCCAGCCCCCTAATCATTTTGGTTGCCCTTCGCTGGACACTCTCCAGTGCATCCACATTCTTTCTATAGTGGGGGGCCCAGAACTGGACACACTACTTCAGATGTGGCCTCACCACAGCCAAATAAAGGGGAATAATCTCTTCTCTATATCTGCTGGCAGTGCTCCTCCTAGTGCAACCTAATATGCCATTAGCCTTCTTGGCTACAAGGGCACACTGACTCATATCCTGCTTCTCAACCACTGTAATCCCCAGGTCCTTTTGTGCAGAACTGTTACTTAGCCAGTTGGTCACCAGCCTGTAACAATGCTTGGGATTCTTCTGTCCCAAGTGCAGGACTCTACACTTGTCCTGTTGAACCTCATCAGATTTCTTTTGGCCCAATCCTCTAATCTGCCTGGATCACTCTGGACCCTGTCTCTGCCCTCCAGCATATCTACCACTCCCCCTAGCTTAGTAAAACAAAAGGAAAAAATAGGTAGCACTTTAAAGACTAAGATAGTTTATTAGGTGATCAGCTTTCATTGGCCAGACCTACTTCTTCAGATGACCCTAGCTTAGTGTCATCCGCAATCTTGCTGAGGGTGCAATCAATCTCCCCATCCAGGTCATTACTAATTAGATATTAGGAAAGATTTTATAATTTGTAATTAAAAGGATAATTAGGCTTCAAAGGAGGTTAAGAAATTCCTATCATTGGAAGTTTTTAAAAATACATTAGGCAAACACCTGTCAGGGATGATCTCGGTTTAGTTGGTTGTGCCACGGCACAGGAGGGTGATTTCTCAAGGGTCCCTTCTAGCTCCGTGTTCTACATTTCAGAACTGTTTCTCAATCAGTGAGAGAAACAATAACTGAAAATGTTGAAATGACAAAGTATTAAATTACTTTGTCAGTTTTCACCAAAATGTTAGTGATTAAATGTCAAATGTAGTGAATGCCAGTGAAAAGGAGGTAGGATCTGAGGCTAAAATAGGAAAAGAAAAAGTTAAAAAATACTTAATGTCTTCAAGTCACTGGGTCCTGATGAAATATATCATGGCATAGTCATCTGAGCCATTAGCTATTATCTTTGATCCATTATGGAAGACGGGAAAGATTCCAGAGGACAGGGAAAAGGAGAACGTTTTGCCCATCTATAAAAAAGGAAATAACTTGGGGAATTGGAGGCCAATTTGTTTAACTCCAGTACCTGGAAAAATAATGGAGAGGATAAATAACAGTATGGATTTGTCAAGAACAAATCATATAAAAATCATCTAATAACTTTCTTTGACAGGGTGTATGCTTTGTGGATGGGGGAAGTGGTAGATGTGGTATATATTGACTTTAGTAAGGCTTTTGATGCTTGCAAGACCTTCTCACAAGTACATAAGGGAAAGATAAGATAGATGGAACTATTAGAAGGAGGGTGCGTATCTGGTTGGAAAACAGTCATCAGTGGTTCATAGTTAAGCAGGAAGGGCATATCTAATGGGGTCCAATGGAGATCAGTTCTGGGGCTGGTTCTGTTCAGTATCTTCTTTTAATGATTTAGACAATGGTGTAGAGAATACACTTACGAAGTTTGCAGATACCACAAATCTGGAAGAAGTTGCAAGTGCTTTGGAGGATGGGATTAAAATTCAAAATCTGGACAGACTGGAGAAATGATCTGAATTGGATGAAATTCAGTAAGGACAAATGCAGAGTATTCTACTTAGGACGGAATAATCAGTTACATACCTACAAAATGGGAAATGACTGCCTTGAAAGGAGCATTGCAGAAAGGCATCTGAGTTAAATGGGTGTCAACAGTGTAACACTGTTTCAAGAATAAAAACAAATCATTCTGAGATGTATTAGCAGGAGTATTGCAATATGACAAAAGAAGCAAGTCTTCCACTCTATTCCATGCTGACTAGGCCTCAGGTGGAGTATTTTGTCCCGTTCTGGATGCCCTGTTTCTGGAAAGATGTAGACAACGTCCAGACTTGAGCAAAAAAACCCAATTAAAGAGCTAAAAAACAAGGCCTATAAGGGAAGATTAAAACAACTGGGGTTGTTTAGTCTGGAGAAGAGAAGACTGAAAAGGTACTAACGTTTTCAAGTATATAAACTTTGGTTACAAGGAAGGAGACAAATATTTCTCCTTCACTTCTGAGGCTAGGAGAAGAAACAAATGGGCTTAAATTGCAACAGGATTGCAGGGTTATGTTGAACATTAGGAAAAACTTCCCAACTATCAAGGTGGTTAAGCACTGGAATAAATTGACTAAGGAGGTGATGGAATCCCCATAATTGGAGATTAAGAGCACATTAGACAAACACTTTTCAGGGATAGTGTAGATCAGTGTTCCTTAAACTTTTTAAGAGATGAACACCAAACAATTTTTTTTTGAGGAACACCAGGGATATTTTTGTTGAGTTAAAAAACAAAAAAGGGTCAGGAGAAAGTTATTGAGGGGGGAAAAAAAGGTCGCCTGCCCCTTTAAGGGCAGTCATTTTTAAACTCTGTTGTTCTCCGTGGCACACCCCTGATTGCTTCGCGGCACGGAACACAGTTTAAGAAACACTGGTGTAGATGTTATTTCTGCCGTGAGTGCAGAGGACTGGACTAGATGACCTATCAAGATCCTTCCACGTCTATGATTCTGTGTAGAAGATGGTAGGAGAGGGAGGGAATACAACACAATAAAAATAGGCTGTTGTTGGTGTGCTCTATCAAATTTGTCATAACAGAAGTAACTTGGCTTCCACAATTGATATTTATCCTCACATATGCATAGTTCTGCTAGATAGTTTGAAACTTTTTAGAGTACATTTACATTTAATATTTTTACTATCAGAAAGTAAAAGAAATAGGCAAATACTAGTGATTATTGAGCTTAGTGTTCTATATAATATTCTGGTGTCCTAAAAAATAACTTAACAATTAGCATTGCTTATTAGACACTGTAAGCTTGTGGAAGTGACAAAAAATGGATATTCACTTCATCTGTAATGATTTTTCTTAAATATTTATCTAAAATGTTTTGGAAATTTTGTAATAATATAAACAACTAGGATCAGACTGACATTTAAATTAGATTGCACATGCAAGCTGTACATCTTTGTTGGCTACTAAAAGGGAACTCTCTTATCTCTTGCAATATTCTTAAAATATCTTCTGACACATCTTCACATTAATTGGCATGTGAAGTTAACAGAACTTCTCTTTAGAATCCTGGCAAGTGTGTTCCCTGAAGTCTTGTCTACGGTAGATAAATGATGAATTACCAGCAACTGGTGTTAACATTGGGTCATTTTGAACTTGTAGTTGAAAATAGCCTAGTTGCTTGTATAGTGCTTAAGAGTAATTGTTTCAGGTATGTATCTGTCAGTTTTACATCTACTTTGCTATTTGTTACTAGATTGGCAAGAAAATGTTTCCTTCCTAAAAATCATGAAATATTCTTTTTAACATAGACTAGTTTCTAAAATTAATCCCCCTACTACTTATATTTTTTGTGTTGTATCACACGGAATTATTCAAGAAAGCTATGTTACAAAATCAAAGTTAAAGCAAATGAATGTAAGCATAGCACTAAATTATGGTATATTATCAGCCGGAAATATTCAAAGGGTTGTGAATGTTTGCCACTGCTATACATTGAAAGGATGGATTGATGGGGAGGGTACTATTCAGGAATTTTTCCACATCTCATGGAATTTGCTTACACATACTTTGAGTGTGACAATTGTACCAGAGACTTTATGAGCACTTTATCCGTTACTTTTTATAGTATGAAAACACACAAATACCTCAAAACCTTGCTAAGTCCTACCCTACTCCTCTACACTATGGTGCTCCTTATCCTTCCATTTCTATCCTTAACACAAATGGCAGCGCCCCAGAGAAATTGGAAGGAAGATGAGGAGGACACACGGTGGGAGGAATTGTGAGAGAGGAGAAGAACCAGGAGAAGACAAAATGGTGGAAGATAAGAGAAGTCAAAATGCCAAGAAGAGCATGATGTCAAGTGTCAAAACCAACTGACAGATCAAAGAGGATGAAGATGGATTATTGGATCATAGATTGATAGGTTCTAAGGCCAGAAGGGACCGTTATGATCACGGCCTGTCTTAGGCCATAGAACTCCCCCAAAATAATTCCTTGAGCATATCTTTGAGGAAAAAATCTTGATTGCCTGTGGTGATCTGCCAACATTATTGGTAAATTGTTCCAGTGATTATTTACCCTCTCTGTAATTTTTTATTTCCAGTCTGAATTTGTTTAGTTACAACTTCCAGCCAACTTCAGTTTAATAGATCTTCTCTGCTAAATTGAAGAGACCATTACTAAATATTTGTCCCCAATGTAGATACTTACAATTTGTGATCAGTCATCCTTAACCTTCATTTTGCTAAGCTAAGTAGATCCGATTCCTTGAATATGTCTCTGAAAGGCATGTTTTGTAATCGCTTTATCATTTTTGTAGCTCTTCTCTGAACTATTTCCAACTTATAAC